CATTCCTGCCCAAATTCCTGCAAATTAAACCAAGTAAAGGATGTTACAATCAGCTATAACAATTTCAAAGCCAAAAGACATTAAATAATAGTGCAAATACAAATAAACACTACATGTTCTTTAATAAAATGATTAAATGAGTAGCCTCTCAGAGCTTTCAGGAGGGGGGTCTGTTAATACAAACTAATAATAATGATTTGAAGAAAGTCCATGCTAGAGTTTATTCAGTGTACCACCAGAATCATGAATTATGATACTATCTATAAGAACAACTAAAAAGTTTCACATGGTGTATCCAAAGTTTTTGTAGGCTGAAAATATTAATTTAGATGTAAAACAAACTGAACTTGCAATAAAAATAATACTAAACTAAGTATATCTTTGTAGGCTTGAATATCATCTAAGAAAAAGTTACAAAAATAAATCACAGAAAATATACTTCATTCCTTGAATTTTCAATATGTAGAATGAAAACTTAAAGGAATCTGAAAATAAGTTCCATTGATGGCATATGAAAACGTAGTATTAAATCATCTTGGATTAATGTAAAATTTTGTATATATGATCTAAGAGTAAAGAACTTTCAATTTAACGGTTTGATTTACAAAATTCACATTTAATATAAAATTATTGAACGATGTAATACTTAATAAAAGTTACACCGATGTAATTATAACCCTATATATATGGGGAATGCTAATATACTCCCACCTATTTTTTAGTGGGAGTATGTTAGCAACATACACCAAAATTTTAGGACAAGAAAATCATTCATTTCTTTTGATTTGGTTAATTTGTATAAAAAATATTATAATAATTTAATTTAATTTTAAAAGAAAATAAAGCATTTTCTCTCTTATTAATTTTATTTTCTAATTCATTTTTTTATTAATTAATTTTTTATTTGTTCAGAGAGAGAGAGGGAAGACATCATGAGAAATGAAAGAGAAATGAGCTAAAGAAGCCATTCATATGTACAATAATTTCACAGTTATTATCCAACAAGATAATGCATGCAAAGTTGCAAACATACATTTTCGTATGCCTTTGAACATTAAATAGTAAAGATACATTCACAGATGTTAGGAACTTATAATCCTACAAGCTTTCAACATTTAAGGGGCCGGGCATGTTTTCAAAATCAATTTTTATTCGGCTGACTATTACAATGTAAAGGAATGACTATAGATGCAATCTGTAGTCAAGGTGAAACAATAAATAAAATAAGCTCATGCTTCAATAACAAAACCACATGCAATCTTTGCAACTTGCAAAATAGAATGGATCCAAAACTCTTACCGAACCAATTGCAGATCAAGATGTCAAGAACAATACTGTCCCACCAGCACTCGTTGAAATTTGGCAACATGTGACGAAAAGTATACTGAAGATGCCAATACAGAATGGTTTGTAAACAACACAGAAGATATAGTTATACCAAAACAACAACAAAAGTCAAGCTTGCCTCCCCAGCCATTTAAAGCGAGCTATGTGAAAAAATCATAGATATTTTAATCAAATCAGGGCTTACCTCCACCAACTCAAAACCAATTGATAACACCCAAAGAAGGGGCTGATTACGAATCAATATTGCCTTCCCCCACCATCCAATAACATGAGCTAGAACAAATTCATCAAAAAGTGTCTCCTGAAAAATGAAGCACAATATATAAGCCTCATGTCATGGTAGGTCCAAATATGATAAATTAAAGAACAAAATAATTTTAGGAGAGATCAGGCAAAAACAAAGGTTGTGAAAGAAATCATACATAAACATTCTTAAACCTGCTTGCAGGGTTTTCAGGCAGATATATACGACAGTCAGCACCATAAGATCTTTCTGGAAGTTCTGCCAAGATCAAACACAGTAATTACGAAATTTTAAACTGAAGGAAACCGGCTGATCCATGACTATCCAAAAAGGATTTCAAATCTCAAAAACAACATATATACATAATGAATTAATTTCAATCAATTCAAAGCTTATAATAATAAAGAATCAGATTGAATTACCAACACCAAGATCAGGATGAAGAAACTTCATAAACTGTCGAGCATCATCACGCTTCTGCAGGGACAAAAATTGAAAATAAATGTTAGTCCACTTTGTTCACTTGCTGGAAACAGAGTAACAAATGAGAAAAAATTACGCAACAGAAGACAAAGACAAAAATCGAGGAAGCTAACAGATGCAAATCCGAAAAGTAAGCAAGAACCTAGTGTAAAATGCAAATTTGAAGCTTGACAAAGATAATTAAACTTTATACATCAATAACAATCAAATTGAGACATGAAAACCAACCTGAAAAAGCAAAAAAGTGAGAGCAACAAGGTAAACAACAGCCATCCCATGAACCAAGCGCCAAATTGCAGGATGTGGCCTAATAAGAACCCTGCATGAAAACAGGAAAAAAAATTTATTCAGTTAACAGTCTCGACAAATTTTACTACATCTTCAGCTGAACTAAAACACTCCTAATCCTCCACCATCATTTGCTATCAACAACCAGTGATCAGCCCATTTTTATATTTTCCATTTATGGACCATTGTTCCTGGTTCATAACTTATCAGAAAAATTTTAAGCATGATTATAAGAAAATTTGGATGGAACTAGCTTCCATCAAACAAAATTAAAACACCTTGGATTCCCAGTTATCTTCATACAGTTCCATATCTCTTCCACACTCCCCAACCCCAAAAGGAAGCATCTTCCAGTAACTTCTTTCCAGCGACCATCCAATCTACAGCGGAACACCCCACGACCAACCAATCTTGAATGATATCTTGATTATCTCGAGTGACTTAACCTATTAGATAATGTTCTAAAATGGTGATGACCGTGTCTCTGTGTGTAGAGTGGTCGCATTATTCTCTTGACTTAAATTCTTAATTTTAAAAATGAAATAAATTAACTGATGAAGTCTGGAATTTAAATCTTAAACACCACCTCTCAAACCAAACTAAAAGTTCATATACTCAATCTCCTCCAAGATATAAGCAAGAGAATTATCCAATCATCTTGGGAGTCACAGAAAATAAGGAAGACCTTGTTACAAACTTGGGATCTAAATCTAAACTCAACATATATACCAGACAAATAAATTTAATTTAATTTAATTAAGGAAAAACGCAACAAGACTAATATATACATCCAAAAACAATTAAGTAATGGAAAATACCAAACTAAACTAAACAAATTCATTCTGATTACTCACGTAGAAGGAGCTTGCAGCAGGCAATAAGCAAGAAAAACAGCAATCATTGCCCATACACCCCTACAGAGAACCAGTTGTGTGAGTATTTAGCACATATTTGTAGACAGAAAAATGATAAAGAAAGAGAAATGAGCACTACTTAAACTAACAATACCAAACCTTTTAACAGAAGTAACAAGATCACCAGATGCATCTCTTTCTGGATCAAGTGCTCCACTTGCCCAACTGCCATAAACAATGATATAAAATTAAGTAGCGGGAAGAAAATTAATTTCATTAAAAAAAACATTTACAATTTAATAAAAAACTTGTTAACATTAATTTATACAGCTAGCTAAACACACTCACATAAGAAAGCAAGCACCAATAAGTAATAATGTGATCGTGCGAGGCTTGTATGCCCATGCTGTCCATGGATCATGTTCATCATCAACATTTGACAAATGGGAATTGCCATTTTCTTTAATAAAATCATTTCTCCTTATTCTTGCATGACCGTTGGACTCCATATTCAGTGTCCCAGACAAGCTACTCTCTAACTACAGTCAAAACCAAAGATAGAAGATCATTTATAGGTGCTATGACAAATACCCCGAGAGTTCTATGCACCTCAAAAGACTACTACTCCTGGTAACTGAAAAGCACACAATACAACAAATGGTCACACAAAAAATCATCCGTTTGATTCAGATAAAAATCCATGATGTGAAAAATAAGAAACAGCATCATATACATATATAAAAGCACACCAAACATGAATATAACAGACAAGATTATTGCTAACTATCCATGTGTAATTGCATTGCAGTGGCATGTTATGAGAACTTCATTGACATGAGAAATATATTCAGGAAAGAAAAGATAAAAGGAGTCCACATACGTCACTATATGACAGTAAAAACTCCACACACGCATAATAAGAACAAACTGTAAGAAGGTTAGACAAGACAACTTCATGTAAACATACAACCAGAAGACTTCTCAAAAATATAAAATCAAAAGATATAATTTCTCCATTGCAATGGAGCGAAGAAGTTTAATATTTATCACCTTTAGAGTATCATGTAAATAATTAACAAGCATGTAAAACAAAAAAAAAATGATCCAAGAAATAACTTCTGCATAAGAAACCATCTTAGGGTTCAAAACTAAAGGCCAAACCAAAAACATTCATGCAAATCCACTAAATTTACATTTTACAGCGCAACAAACCCCAAATTGAAACCTAAGGTAGTAGCTGGTGCACAATTCAATGTGATTTTTTTTTGTGTGTGCGTGTCAAAAACCATTGGTTGACAGCCCAACAGTTCACCGCAAATTCTACAGTAGCATTTAATAGCACTCAGCAATATTTTGAACACAGTACAACCCATCAGCATCTTAACACAAAAGACGACACCACATGCATATCATATCACAAAGAATAAAACCGAGTAATCAACGGATCCCCGTCAAGAGAGAACTACGCAAACCGTTACAGAAAAATAATTTTTTAAATAAAAAACACACATTTAAAAGGCACTACATCATAAACCTTGGAAAAGACTCAAATTCTCAATCCAACCAAATTACCAAAGTCGGTCACAGCAACATGATGGATCTAAATCTGGCGGAAGAAGCAAAACCCATTACGCCAATGCATAATTCAACACCGTATCGATGCATGTAACGGCGAAACCAATCGAACCCCGAATCCACTGGAACAAGGGCCAAGTGGGGTGGGCCGAAAAAAAAAACTTTTTAAAAAAAAATTCGAAGAATTGAAGGAACCCAAAAAGGGAGGGAATAAAAAAAAAAAAAAAAAAAAAACGTACA